TAAACCCAAAACAGGTGTGTGTTTTTTAAGGGCAGGACAGCTGTCAGAAACACATCCAATATCATCACACTGATTGGAGTCAAGGTTGGCTCACTCCTGGCTCCAATTAGCTCTGGGAGAAGTCATTAAGCTAGGGCCTCACATACTTTTTCCTCCCTGCACTGTGAATGTTTACATGTTATGTGCAATTAAACCATGGCAACATCTAATGTTTGTGTAGTGTTATGTTCAGCAGACTGTGTTCTTCTATTGTTGTGACTTAGATGACGTTCAGAGCATATTTTATGCCCAATTCATGCAAAACTCCACGTAATCCCAAGAACCACTGATGTATTTATACATGGAGATCATATCCCCCCTTATGTATTATATATGGAGATCATATCCCCCCTTATGTATTATACATAGAGATCATATCCCCCCTTATGTATTATACATAGAGATCATATCCCCCCTTATGTATTATACATGGAGATCATATCCCCCCTTATGTATTATACATGGAGATCATATCCCCCCCCTTATGTATTATATATGGAGATCATATCCCCCCTTATGTATTATACATGGTTATCATATCCCCCTTATGTATTATACATGGTGATCATATCCCCCCTTATGTATTATATATGGAGATCATATCCCCCCTTATGTATTATACATAGAGATCATATCCCCCCTTATGTATTATACATGGAGATCATATCCCCCCTTATGTATTATACATGGAGATCATATCCCCCCTTATGTATTATATATGGAGATCATATCCCCCCTTATGTATTATACATAGAGATCATATCCCCCCTTATGTATTATACATAGAGATCATATCCCCCCTTATGTATTATACATGGAGATCATATCCCCCCTTATGTATTATACATGGAGATCATATCCCCCCCCTTATGTATTATATATGGAGATCATATCCCCCCTTATGTATTATACATGGTTATCATATCCCCCTTATGTATTATACATGGTGATCATATCCCCCCTTATGTATTATATATGGAGATCATATCCCCCCTTATGTATTATACATAGAGATCATATCCCCCCTTATGTATTATACATGGAGATCATATCCCCCCTTATGTATTATACATGGAGATCATATCCCCCCTTATGTATTATACATGGAGATCATATCCCCCCCCTTATGTATTATATATGGAGATCATATCCCCCCTTATGTATTATACATGGTTATCATATCCTCCCTTATGTATTATACATGGAGATCATATCCCCCTTATGTATTATACATGGTTATCATATCCCCCCCTTATGTATTATACATGGAGATCATATCCCCCCTTATGTATTTATACATGGAGATCATATCCCCCCTTATGTATTATACATGGTTATCATATCCCCCTTATGTATTATACATGGAGATCATATCCCCCCTTATGTATTTATACATGGAGATCATATCCCCCCCTTATGTATTATACATGGAGATCATATCCCCTCTTATGTATTATACATGGAGATCATATCCCCCCCTTATGTATTATACATGGAGATCATATCCCCCCTTATATATTATACATGGAGATCATATCCCCCCTTATGTATTATACATGGAGATCATATCCCCCCTTATGTATTATACATGGAGATCATATCCCCCTTATGTATTATACATGGAGATCATATCCCCCTTATGTATTATACATGGAGATCATATCCCCCCTTATGTATTATACATGGAGATCATATCCCCCCTAATGTATTATACATGGAGATCATATCCCCCTTATGTATTATACATGGAGATCATATCCCCCCCTTATGTATTATACGTGGTGATCATATCCCCCTTATGTATTATACATGGAGATCATATCCCCCCTTAATCTCCTCTTCTCAAGAGAAAATAAATTCAGTTCCTCTAATCTTTCCTCATAGCTGATCTCCTCCATGCCTGTTATCAGTTTGGTTGCCCTGCTCTGTACTTTCTCCAGTTCCCCAATGTTCTTTTTGTGAATTGGTGCCCAAAACTGAACTGCATATTCCAGATGAGGTGTTACTAATGATTTGTAAAGGAGTAAAATGATATCTCTCTCTGTCTGATATGATTATTTTCTATGCTCATAAGCACCATCTAGAGGCCACAATGCAGTATTTTCCCGATTTAAGTAATTAAGGAAAAATATCATATTAGGGTCCCTTGATGGTGCTTATGATCATAGTAAATATTCATATAAGTCACAGCAATTTCTATCTATCTATCTATCTATCTATCTATCTATCTATCTATCTATCTATCTATCTATTTATCCATCTATCTATCAATTAAGTTCACGTCTCCAATGAAGGGCTCTGTTAACATGCAGTACATAATACAAAGACATTGTAGACAATTGTGATCTTCCAACCTTGTGGTTATAGTTTGGTGAAGACCATTTTCTATTCCAGCATGACTGTGCCCCTGTGTACAAAGCCAGCTCCATAAAGACATAGTCTGACCAGTTTGGTGTGGAGGAACTCAAATGACCATCACAGAGTCCTGACTTCAACTCTCCTTAACTCCATTGGGATGAATAGGACCTCCGCTGGTGTACCAGATCTTTCCATCCAACATCAGTACCTGAACTCACAAATGTTCTTTTGGCTCACTGGACACAGATTCCCACAGATGTACTCCAAAATTTTGTGGAAAGCTTGTCAGAAGAGTAGAGCAAGCTTAATAAATACATAGTTTGGTGGGTTTGGTGTGGAGGAACTTGAGTGTCCTGCAAAGAGCCCTGACCTCAACCTTATTGAACGCCTTTGGAGTAAGCCTTCCCAGAAGAGTAGAGCCAGCTTCATAGACACATAGTTTGGTGGATTTGGAGTCCTTGTGTCATGCACAGAGCCCTAACCTCAACCCTCCTGAACACCTTTAGGATGAATTGGAACTCCAATGGTGAACCAGGTCTTCTCAATGATCTCAACATCACCATAAAGGCAAGGTTTGACCAATTGGTGTGGAGGAACTGGATAGCTCTGACCTCAACCCTACTGGGACAACTTTGTGATTTGCTGGAACACCATTTGCAAACCAGGCCTTCAGTTCCAAAGATGAATGGGCCCAAATTCCCACAGACACCTTCAAAAATGTTATGGGAAGCCTTTCCAGAAGAGTAGAACCAGCTTCATAAAGACATAGTTTGAAGGGTAGTGTGGAAAAACTGAAGTGTCTGACGTGTCTTAAGAGCTCTGACCTCAACCCAAAGGACAATTTTGGGATTAGGCAGAACACCATTTGCAAACTAGGCCTTCAATTCCAAAGCTCAATGGGCCCACATTCCCACAGACACCTTCAAAAAATTTTTTGGGAAGCCTTCCCAGAAGAGTAGAGCTAGCTTCGTAACAACATAGTTTAATGAGTTTAGTGTGGAGGAACCCGCATGTCCTGCACACAGCCCTGACTTCAACCCTACTGGACAACTCTGTGATTAGTCGGAACACCATTTGCTAACTAAGCCTTCAGTTCCAAAGCTAAATGGGCCCAAATTCCCACAGACACCTTCAAAAATGTTATGGGAAGCCTTTCCAGAAGAGTAGAACCAGCTTCATAAAAACATAGTTTGAAGGGCCGTGTGGAAAAACTGAAGTGTCTGACGTGTCTTAAGAGCTCTGACCTCAACCCAAAGGACAATTTTGGGATTAGCCAGAACACCATTTGCAAACTAGGCCTTCAATTCCAAAGCTCAATGGGCCCACATTCCCACAGACACCTTCAAAAAATTTTTGGAAGCCTTCCCAGAAGAGTAGAGCTAGCTTCGTAACAACATAGTTTAATGAGTTTAGTGTGGAGGAACCCGCATGTCCTGCACACAGCCCTGACTTCAACCCTACTGGACAACTCTGTGATTAGTCGGAACACCATTTGCTAACCAAGCCTTCAGTTCCAAAGCTAAATGGGCCCAAATTCCCACAGACACGCTCCAAAATCTTGGGGAAAGCCTTCCCAAAAAGAATGACGGCTGTTATATCTGCAAAAGGGGACAAGTCCATGATAGAGTCCATGGTTTTGGAATGGAATGTTCAACAACCTAATATAGGTGTAACAGCCAGGTGTCTAGAGACTTTTATCCACACGTGTATCCATCTCTCTATACACTGTGAAAAGAGTTTGCATTTGAACGGGGGCCTTCTACATTCTTCAGTGGCCCTTAAATAACTATGTCCTCCTATGTCGAAGAAGAACGCTTAGCCAACTGTTCTTGGGTTCCATCCAATACCAGTGACGTAACCAGATGCCAAGGCATTGGTCAGGTCATTTAACTGGGATCCTATAGGAGATGCTTGAGAACCAGACAGCAGATCGTGGTGACCCATGAGCTATTTTACTTTTTTTGGCCTGTTGCAAAGAAGAATCACAGGCCCGCAGTCAGAAAGCACGCCAGAGAGTTTGTTTTCTTCTGCACACTGGAATTGGTGTTCGTAGGTTTTGCATTTCTCTCTTCTCAGTTGAACGCATATCGTTAGCTTGGTAATTGCAGGTTTGGTTCTCAGTCAGATTGTATCAAACTGAGCGATTGGTGGGGAGAGTCGCTTCCAGCTGGTCCAGGTGAGGAGCCGTTTGATAGCGCGAAGCCAAATTCACCTTATATGGGCGCGTTGCTGTTTTTCTCGCCTCGTTGCGGCTGAAGTATTATTACAGCTATTTGTCCAGAGCCAAGCAGGCTTAAACCAAGAATTTGCTTCACACAAAGCTCCAAATTACAAGCAGATGGCGGCTTTATTATAGCAAATGGAAAACACTGTATTTCTTGGAAATTCTCAGCTTGGAAAATGCATCCTGTACTAAAGGAAGCGATTCATTTCAATGTGAAATCTGAAACTGAGGCTGAACTAAAACTTAATATCTTTACTTTAAATCCGACCTACAGCCTCACCTTCAGTCTTGCACAGTTGTACCGGCTCCTCCCCTTCAGTCTTGCACAGGTGTACCGGCTCCTCCCCTTCAGTCTTGCACAGGCTTACCGGTTGCTCTCCTTCAGTCTTGCACAGGTGTACCGGCTCCTCCCCTTCAGTCTTGCACAGGTGTACAGGCTCCTCCCCTTCAGTCTTGCACAGGTGTACCGGCTCCTCCCCTTCAGTCTTGCACAGGTGTACCGGCTCCTCCCCTTCAGTCTTGCACAGGTGTACCGGCTCCTCCCCTTCAGTCTTGCACAGGCGTACCGGCTCCTCTCCTTCAGTCTTGCACAGGTGTACCGGCTCCTCCTCTTCAGTCTTGCACAGGTGTACCGGCTCCTCCCCTTTAGTCTTGCACAGGTGTACCGGCTCCTCCTCTTCAGTCTTGCACAGGTGTACCGGTTCCTCTCCTGGACTGAAACAGCTTCCTCTGATTTCACCGCACACTGTGAGCTTCTCACCATGTGCATTAGAAGCTGCAGCAAGTCAGATAGAGCTCCACCTCCTTTCCTGGCTGCAGGACGTCCAACATCATCTAGGCCAGGGATGTCCAAACAATGGCCCTTCAGGTGTTGAGGAACTGCAAGTCCCATGAGGCCTTGCAAGACTCTGACAGCCACAGGCAAGGCTCCCAGAGGCAGAGGCATGATGGGACTTGTAGTATTTCAACAGCTGGCGGGCCATAGTTTGGACACCCCTGATCTAGGCTTTTCCTCCCCAGCCTGACTGTCCCTAATCCACCACTTTCATTTGTTGTACTTCAGTTCCTTCAAACACGGAGGGCCAGCATCCCAAGTGGGCATTACCCAGGGAGATCTATCTGCACATGCAGCCTGCCTAGGAACGCCCACTCCTCCAGACTGACACCCACCCATCAAGGCATTTTTTTTTTTGCATAACTCCTCCTAAGAGCCCGCCCACTGCTTGCATTAGGATAAAGGGCTCTTGAGAGGAGTATTATATGTCCTGCCAGCACCTCCCACCAGCCATGATCTGCCTGCGTGGCTTAGAAAAGCACAGAGACCTTGTGACGACATCACTATGTGTGTAATAAAAATGGAAAGTTTTTACTTAAAAAATCTTAATAGCATTTAAAAGGGGGGATGGGAGGGTGGGGGAGGTTAGAAACCAGGGAAAGTCAAATATAAAACTAAAATATAACTAGTCAAAGCTTTTTTTTTATGTTTTGAATAGAGTGGAGAGGGATTAGCTTGTCAGTTTTTATTGCGGTGTGTTGAACCGTTAACCACTTACCCTCCAGAGCAGTGGTTCTCAACCTGGGGGTTGAACGACCCTTTCACAGGGGTCCCCTAAGACCATCAGAAAAACACATATTTCCGATGTGTAAAAGAGCAGCTACTGTGTTGAAAGCAGCTACTCTGTTAAAAGCAGCTACTGTGTTGAAAGCAGCAGTATTGGAGGTAAAACGACACTCATGAATTATAATTACTGGGTAAATAATTTTAAGGTTGGGGGTCACCTCAACATGAGGAACTGTATTAAAGGGTCGCGGCATTAGGAAGGTAGAGAACCACTGCTCCAGAGGATTTCAACCCCCCCGACCAGGACATTTTTTGCATTACGGCGCTGCGTTGTTGTAACTGACAATTGCGCGGTCATGCAACGCTGCTCACAAATGAAATTTATGTCCTTTTTTCCCCACATATCGAGCTTTCTTTCTGTGGTATTTGATCACCTGTGCCTTTTTTATTTTTTGCGCTAGAAACAAAAAAAGGCTGACAATTTTGAGAAAAAAAAATATATATTTTTGACTTTTTGCTATTAAACATGTCCAGTAAAAAAAAAAATTAAAAATCTAATTTCTTAACAAATTTAAGGCAAAATGTATTCTGCTCCGTGTCTTTGGAAAAATCCCGATACGTGTAAATGAATTGGTTTACATGAAAGTTATAGCGGTAAAGATACTGGAATTTTATTTCTTTTTTTTTACTAGTAATGGAGGCGATCAGTGACTTATAGCGGGACTGTGGTGGGCATTCTGACACTGGGGGGGAACTGACTTGGTGTCACTGACATCCCCAGTGATACCAATACAGTGATCAGTGCTAAAAAGACAAAATGAAAGAGTGAGCCCTTCTGCTTAGTGAGTCCCATACCCTGTTCCATCTTGCCTTCCTCCCATCCCCTCGGAATCAGGCCCTGTCTGTCTGAGCAACTGTTGGCACGGGTAATTCATCATTTAGATTTATATTGATGTAATAGAGTTTGATCGGGTTGTTACTTATTTTTCTGGTTGGGTATAAATTCTATGTTTGTTTGAACACCTTGTACTTTGATCCCTTCTTTATTTACAGTAACTCTCTTTTTCAAACCCCTGAAGAAGCCAAATTGGCGAAACGCGTCGGGTCTTTACATCCTGCCACTGTCCTGGACTTCCATCTGACATACAGTTGTGCTCAAAAGTTTGCCTCCCCTGGCAGAAATTGTGACATTTTGGTATTGATATTGAAAATATGACTGATCTGCCAAAAAATGCTCTTTTATTGAAGGATGATGATCATATAAAGCCATTTATTATCAAATAGTTGTTTGGCTCCTTTTTAAATCATGATAACAGAAATCACCCAAATGGCCCGGATCAGAAGTCTCCGCCCCCCTGATCAGATGTCTCCGCCCCCGGGACCGGATGTCTCCGCCCCCGGATCAGAGGTCTCTGCCCCCAGATCAGAAGTCTCCGCCCCTGGATCAGAAGTCTCCGCCCCCTGATCAGAAGTCTCCGTCCCCTGGATTAAACGTTTCCCTCCCCTGGAATGTTTGGCCTTGGTATAGACACACATGGGTTAAAATGCCAATTAGAGGCTAATGTCCCACATCTGTGGCTTTTTAAATTGCAATTAGTGTCAGTGTATAAATAGTCAATGAGTTTGTTAGCTCTTACGTGGAAGATACTAGGCTAGATACTGAGCCATGGGGATCAGAAAAGAACTGTCAAAAGTCCTGCGTAACAAGGTAATGGCTGCAATATTTCTTGGTTTACCTGAACTTGGCTTGGTATCAAGAGATCCACCAACTTTCCACTTCGTAGCCTCCCTGACGGTATTCCTGAGTGTAGCTCGGGGTTAAGTTTCAGTACCAAAAGCGGTAACCCCGAGCTATCCTCGGGCTTACCATGCGGCACTGCTCTGGCATCTTTTTCTCCACTTACCTTGTCCTGCACTCCCGCGATGTCCCCCCTGCAGTGTCCCCGGCAATGTCCTCCAACCGATGCCGGCATCTGTCATCTGGGTTCCGTCCCCTGCGAGTGTCGGGATGTACGGGGGACAGAACTGGCGGGAAATTTGAAAATGACAAAAAGTGACATTCACTCAATACACTAAAATCACATAGTATAACATTGCTGTATCAAACCATTTCACATACATTTTGTCCCGAGTGCTTTGTCCGGCGCCCTGCCTGCATTTTTACTGTTCTTTCTGCCTGGAAACTGAGAAACGTCCATGGCGTCCAAAAAGCGTCCCTTTAGGTCAGACGCGGTTTTAGACCGGCTAGAGAACAGCGATAGTAAATCAGAACCACTTGCAGAATTGAGTGATAATGATTCGTGGGGGAAATTCCTCATCAGACACTGAAAACGATTCTGCGACTTAGCTCAGCGATGTGCGAACTTGGCGCTCTATTTCACATTTCAGTGTTTTTGGTTTGATTATATTATTGAATTAAATTTATTATTATTATAGTATTATTTTTTATGATTATTTATTAACTTATAATTTATGATTTCGTGTTTCAAGTTTTATCATCCCCGGGATGTTTACTAGACTCTTGTTCAGACAGATTTCAGTGAGTTATTCCTAAGAATTACAGGCCTACAATAAAAAAAAAACATATTTCCATGCAAAAAAAATGTACCGCTTTGAGCACAGAAATACTGACATAATCAGACCGCTAGGGAGGTTAATAGGTGATTTAACAGTACTGATCGGCTTATTCAAGGCTTTGGACATCTTGTTATGTCCTTTTCCATCTTTATAAAGTTCCATTACCTTGTTACACAGGACTTTTGATAGTTCTTTTCTGATCCCCATGGCTCAGTATCTAGCCTAGTATCTTCCTCGTAAGAGTTAACAAACTCATTGACTATTTATACACTGACACTAATTGCAATTTAAAAAGCCACAGATGTGGGACATTAACCTCTAATTGGCATTGTAACCCGTGTGTGTCACCTTGTGTGTTTGTACCAAGGCCAAACATTCCAGGGGAGGGAAACTTTTGATCTGGGGTGGAGACTTCTGATCCGGGGGGCGGAGACTTCTGATCCGGGCCATTTGGGTGATTTCTGTTATCATTCCAGGGCTCGATGAAGACTAACATCTCCTGGTGGCACTAAGGCTGGCCATACATTATACAATTTTCTTGAGAATTTTGCTTTAGATTTACCAAAAACCAAACATTATGAGGTCAAACCTAAACAACACTTTCAATTGTACCCACTTAGGCAGGCCCTTGCACTATATAATACAAAAAGGTGGTCACTGCCCCAGTCTATAACTGGCGTTTGCAGCAGGGAACATGGACAGGCATCGCATATCAAAAAGAGGAAAGAAAATACCCAGTTCAACTTGCCAGCCGGCTAGCCAACAACCAAATTAACCCGTCTAACAATGTGCGTTTATAAAAACAGGGGTTTAGTTAGCACACATTTGCAAATACATACGTAAGCCACAGAGCCACGTCACGGCACCCCGATATTCTGTGGTCCTAACTCTACAAATTTTTCTTTCTTTTTTTTTTGACCTTGCACTCCATAGTTGAAGGTAAATCTAAAGGAAATTGGGCAGAAATTGGACAGAAAATTGTGTAGTGGCAGCCAGATGAGTCTCTTTTGATCATAGCTTGCCTATTAGCCCCCACAAATTGCCAGGGTTTAATAGCACAATTATCCCCTCATAGGAGATTTGCTGCTAAATTTGGGTTTTGTAAATTCCAGCCAAAATTGGACCCCCACTCCCCATTCCAGGTAGCTCATCCCTACCCATCACCTAGAACTCAGCACAGCTCCCCCTGCTGTTCAATCTACATAACTGCCTGTTTCACCGGACCTGATATATGAACCCAGAAAGCATAATGATGGCTTTCACAGAGCTACACCCCCCAACATAACAAGCTTTTCCTGCCAGAAAGACTTTCTGTTGCTCGTTAGGCATGTTGGCACAGCTTGGGCAATAGATGATTATGTCTAGATGGTTTAGGTGGCTCCGCTAAGTGATGGAACAGCTTGACAATGGAAGGCAAGCAGCCGCGGCAGAAGCTGCGAGCTGTTTGAAGTGTATTGCTGGATCCCCTGCAATATCTGCACATAGCATCTGACAGAGACCTCGGCAAGAGCCGACAAGCCTCGAATTGGCTTCGGCGTGATCATGGCAGGGCCAGCCATCCAACAAGCGTGTGCCAGGAGTCAGGATATGGCCGTGGCCTGCTGGAGACTTTATGCAGCACAGATTAAGCATCTGCTGAGCAGAAGTGATACATTCCCTGTGCCACGCGGACGGGCGACACTCACATAGCTGTCACGTATGCAAAGGAAGATGATCCACAAAAGTATAAACCAGCCCCGCCCCCAAGGAGTTCTCGCCAGCGGGAAAACTTTTATTTTTTTTTTTTATCATGCAGGATACAAACAGGCGGTGATAGATGTCGGCATAAAAAGATCACTGCAGCTTATAGACACGGCAAATAAAAACACAAGAATGCATTACATACCAAGACTGGAGATTATTCTATAGAAAAAAAGAACTCTCCTTTCTTCTTTCAAACTCAAGCTGAATGATATTTAGGCTGCTAAAGCTCTGCGTGTCATAAACAATTGACATTTAAAAAAAATATAAATAAATAAATAAATAAATTTATTTTAAAAATGTCT